TGTAAAGGTACAAGATCCCAATAATGAATGTAACTGTACTGTATACCTAAAATGTACCAATAAACTCAACAATAGAAAAAAATATATAGTTCCAGGAGCGAGGGATTTAGTACAGTGGTGCTGCATCTGCCTCACAAGTACAAGGTCATGAGTTCGAACCCTGGTACCAGAAAAAAAATATATCCAAAAGGTTTTAACACAGAAGATTTTTTTTCCAGGTGGCTTCTTCAAACATTCTGAGAAAAGACCATTACTTTCTTTGTAAGCTATTGCCGAACAGGGTTTTCCATTCTTCAGTTATTCTGCAAAGGTAACATAAACATGATGTCAAAGACCACAAAAACTATAAACTAGAAATCCATTTCTTTTGTGAATAAATATTGAAAAATCAAAAATAAAATCCTAGCAACTGTTAAGTAATATTCCACCATATCAGAAATAAACATATCCCAGGAACACAGATATATCTTAGTGCTACAAAATCTGCTAACTTAATTACATTTAGTGAGTGTTGGTTGTCATTTACTTATTCATATTTATTTGCCTATTTATTTACAAATATATAGAATAACTAGAAGAAGGCACAAGAATCTAGTAAGGGTTAACTCTGGAGCAAAATACAAGATCAATGAAATATGAGAGATTTAATTTTTACTATATACCAATAATAATTATTCAACAATAATATTTTCAGGCTGGGGATTTAGCTCAGTGGTGCCACCACCTGCCTCACGAGCACAAGGTCTTGAGTTAGATCCCTGGTACCAAAAAAAGAAAAAATCAATAATAATATTTTCAAATTTAAATCCCTAAGTAAACTATTTGCCTGATAGGCTGTATATGTGCTGCCGAAGCGAGCACACCTGATAGGCTATATTTAATTATTAACTCATAGTTAAAGTGGCAATATACTGTGAAGGTCACATACAAAAACTTTAGAAAGTAGAGAGTACTCAATGGTGTAAGGTAATATAGCAAATTTATTATTCTGTTGCATTTATTTATAAAATAAACAATAAAATATCACTGTAAGTAAAAAGAAAAAAACAAAGAAGCAAAACTGACCCAACTACACACTCAGAGTATGCTTAGTTTTTGTTGTTGTTTAGTTATTTGTCTTTGTTTGGTTGGTTTTTGCCGTGCTAGGGATTGAACCCAGGGCCTACACACTAAACTACACCCCCAGTGTTTAAAAAAATTCTGATTTTGAGACAGGATCTCAGAAAGTCTCTAAGTTGTCCAGGCTGGGCTTGAACCTGTGACCCTCCTGCCTCAACCACCCAGAGTGCTGGGATTACAGCCATGTTCCACTACACTTGGCTTCGTATCCATTTTAGACTGAAAAGAAGTGCATTTGTGCAGCCTAAGTAAAAGTCGCTTTACAGGAGCAGAATATGGAATTGTGATCAACAGAAACCACGACAAGCCTCACTGAGACCCTCCCTGAATGAATACACACATTTTACCACTGTTTCAGCTTCCCTTGCTTTTCAGCTTACTCCAAGATAATTCACTTTTCATTGCCCATATCCTCACAGAAATTTTGAATCTAATGAATATAAAAATCATGGATTCAGCTCAATTTTATTTTAATCAGCTTCGCTGTTTCCTAATTCAGGATTAACTTCCCAGGATATGCGTAGAAATTTAGTACCAACAGCAATAGCACGCACACACTGAAATATAGAGGGTTTCAGCAGTAACTTGAGCTATGGTAATTACTGGATTTGTTTACAGAGATGAAACCATAACCTTTTTGTTTCCATATTTTTTTATAAGTTGAGAAAACATGCTGCCAACGGGAAAAATTACACAACAGTTATTTAATGACATGGGGGAAATCAGGCACAACAAATGAGGATACAAAATAAAGAGGTCAAAGCTGCCTATGGTAGTGTCTTAATCAGTCAGCCTTTCTCCTGGAGTCACCCCAACATAAAGAAAGGCCCTGTTCTGCCCAGAATGAATGTTAGCATCTTCGACTGAGCCCAAACCCCCTACCCAGCAGAGACCCCACCCCTCACACCAACCCCATCCTGATTCCAGTGTGGCCCCAACGCGCCTTCTCTTTCCACAGATTTCTCCACACCGTGCACCCAGCCCCATGTTCTCCACCAGGGAGCACTGTACCCCATCAGGGCTCCACAGAGGAGGAAGGGCTTTGCCCCCACAATCCTGGTAGCCACCAATTCTCCTGGGGCAGGGGGCAGTGGGAGCCTGTCCCCAGGGACACTCAGGAACAGATTGGGCCTGCTTTTTAAGGCTGATTGATCCCAGATCTGGAAGTTTCCAGAAGATTCTCAGATACCACCTTCCAGGCCTCAGGGCTGCTTGTCTAAAGGCAGCAACGGACAAAGACGCCTGGTCTTCAGTGGTTGGAATGGGTGAGGTTACACAAGGACGGAGTCAATCCCATTATCTTCCTCTACTTCCTTCACCCCATCTCCTATCAAATTGACTTGCTGGGTTATCAATTCAGGTAAAAAGAAAGTGCTTTTGACTTTTTAAAATGCAAGGGTGGCAGTGTCAAAAGGTACACTGAATGTTTAAATTTAAAAAAGAAAAATCTTTACAGTGAAGACACATGGCTAAGAACGATGGAGCGCTGGGATTACAGATGTGTGCCACCTCACCTGACTTTGGGGTACAGTTTGTCAATATCCAGTCTCAACTCAATTGGCAAGAGAGGTGATTGGATGGTGAGGATGCAACCTTTAATGTGTTTGTTACTAAAAGTATGTGTCCTGAGCTTTTGTGAGTACAAGATTCCTATTAACATCTGTCGAAGTTATAGTTCACTCCAAGGAACATATGAATGTGAAGCATAGAAACAATCACATTGCTACTCCAAAAGAATTCATCATAGTAGCTAGCATGGCCACATTCCGTGCAGAGTTTTATGAATCATGCGCACTGATAAACTGATTCAAAGTAGAAGAGACAAAACATCTCTTGGTTGTCCGAGGTCTTTTTTTTTTTTTTCCTGTACTTTCCCCTGATTGTTCAGGGTATAGGAAAATGAGATCAAAGGACTTTGCAAAGAAGGGAAGCCCTTCCACAACAGTAAGAGGTGGGAAGGGGAGGAAGGAGGAACACGGCAGAGAAATCCAACTGAAGATCTACCTTTCTCTCACTACCCTCTCCACCTCACCTGGATCGAAACATAGGGGAGGCCAGCATTGGTTATTTTCCTAAGAAATTGTCAAGCCCTTAAAAAAACACACACTATACAGAAATATTTGGTAATTTGGGAAGTATTCCCAATCTGAGAATTTTACATGTATGACATTGGGAATTATTAAGACACATGATCAACAATATATGACTTTCTTAGAATATTTTTAATGAGAAATATCTTATTCCTGTGCTATTCTGACTGTTTGTCCTCCTCCAACCACACATACCCCAATTCATATGCTGAGTCCCAGCACCCAAAGGATAGTATGTGAGACAGAGACTTTGGGAGGGAGTTAAGTTTAAATGAGGTCATAAAAGCAAGGTCCTAACCCAAGGAAAAGCCAAATGAGGAGCGGCCATCTGTTAGGTGGGAAAAAGACCCTCACCAGAACCCAGGCAAGATGGACTTCCTGCCTCTGGGGTTGGGGGACAACACATGTCTATTGTTCGACACAGTCTAATGTACTTCAAGTCAGTCCGTGCTAAGGAGTAAGAAAACACAGCAGAGTATTCAAGCTCAGCTTCACTTAAAAAAAACAACAACAAAATCATCTGGGGATTGTAGCTCAGTGTGAAGGCCCCGAGTTCAACCTCCAGTAGTTCAAAAGAAAGGGAGAGAGAGAGGAAGGGAGGAAGAGGAAGAAGGAACCAGGGGAGGGAGGGAGGGAAGGACGATGTGAAACAAAGTGTACTACTCTAACCAGATGAACCCACATGATTAACCGCTGAACGAAGACCTAGTCCCTACAGAAGGCCTACATTACATGGTTAACTTCCTGGTTCGATCAGATGCACTTTAAAGATGAGAAAGGGACACACAACATGAAACAGAGCATGATGAAGAAGAGAGCTACGTCCAGCCTTTGCTAGGCATCAGACAGGCTCTCATTAAACCATTAAATTGCCTGGGCTGGGCTCCAATTTGTGATCCTCCTGCCTCAGCCTCCCAGAGCCCTGGGATTAAGGCATATGCCACCACACCCACCCTGACCTAGTTCATGAAGAATTTTCCATACAATCCATCTCCCTTAGTCTAATCTTATAAACTGGCAGGTATATTAATTTTCTTGTTACTTAAAATTTTACTTTATATTCTACAGCAAGTTTTAGCATTTTATTTCTATTTAATTGTTGGTGAGGCATAGTTTATGATTCACTTTAGGGTTTCTTTAGTGTTTAATGTGATTTTTTTTTTTGAGACAGGATCACACTATGTAGTTCAGACTCATCTTGAAGTCACTACGCAGCCCAAGCTGACCTCAAACTCAATCCTCCTGCCTCAGCCTCCAAGCACTGGGATTACAGGTATGCATCACCACACCCAGCTCATAATATGATCCTCTAAATTCAATTGAGAAGTAAAATATTCTGAGTGCTGCCTGAACTACAACATGCCCCCCCCGACACACACACACACTGTAAGACTCAAGTTTTCTGATCAAGGTGGTCTCCCTCTTTGACTTTCACTCAAAATATAAAGATCATGTTTTCTGGGCAAAGGGCTGTAACAACCTCCTCCCTGTTTCTCTGTTCCTCTTTTTCTGACCCAAGGATGAATCTATCTTCTTCCCAATAGTTGCTTAAGATAGGTAGAAAATCATATGTTTAAACACATGCTTTGTTAAATATAAAATTGTTTAATCGATTCATCAAAAGTTCTTTGGACAAAGGAACTTGACCGTTTGAACTTCCCCCCTTAATTTCCAGTAAGTACCCTCCTATTCCAGTAAGTACCCCAATAATATCCAATAGTAAACAAAAGATAAAAATAGCATCAATAAAAAGGGAAAGCCTCCCCAACCCTATATAATCATGCGTCAAAAATGGGTCAGGACTCTCGTTTTCTGATCCGCTCAGTCAGTGAAGTAGGAGGGTCCAGGCTCCAGCTTGTAATAAACTCATGTAATTACATCGGACTCGACTCCTTGGTGGTCTTTGGGGACTCCGCAACTTGGGCACAACACCGTCCCAGCTGGCCTTGAACTTAGAATCTTTTTGCCTCAGTCTCCCAGAGTGCTTAGATTATAGGTGTGTGCTACTACACCCAGCTTTATACTTAACATCAATAAAATGTGAATTAGTCACTTTTCCATGGCTGGGATAAAACACCTGACATATGCTACTTAAAGGAGCAAGATTTATTTTGCCTCACAATTTCAGATTTCAGTCCACAGCCAGCTGGCTTCAAGGCAGGTGCATCCCAGCAGAGGGGTGCGGTACAGGAAAGCTGTTCAACTCCTGCTGCCAAGAAACTGAGAGCAAGGGAAGGGCCTAGGAAAGATGTTCCTTCAAAGGCAAAGCCAGGAGGCCTACTTCCTGCAGTCAGGCCCCTCCTCCTAATGGCCCATGCAGCCAATGGGCTACAAACACATTAAAGGTTGCTTTCTCACCATCCAATCACCTCTCTTGCCAATCAAATTGAGAATGGATGTAGACAAACTTGTACCACAGAGTCAGATGAAGTGGCACTGTAATCCCAGCACTCTGGGAGGCTGGGGCAGGAGGGCCATAAATTCAAGCCCAGCCTGGGCAATTTAGTGACTTACCAAGGCCCTATCTGAAAATCTTTTTTAAAAGACTAGAATGCAGTGTGAAGGCCCCTGTTCAGTCCCTAGCACCCACCCACCCACCCACACACGCACACTCACGCACCCCAAATGTATTGCCAAGAACAAAGGTACCAATTCTGCCCATATTACTTAAGATAATGGAGCCTGTATTTAGAAAAAAATTGCAGTAGGTTTGGTAAAGCTGGTAATATTGGTGAAATGTGAAAGGAATTCTTCCCATGGCATGCGGACCTCAGCAGATCTCCAGAAATAAATCCCCGTGGTGACAGCAGTCCTGAAGCAGGGGTGGGCAAACCAACTGCCCTGGAGAGTCAGAGTAGTGGGTATTTGGGCATTTGCACCTAACCAAGCTCTCAGGTAATTTTCTTGTGGACTCTTGTTCTCCTGCAATCTACTCTTGTTTTTTACAATACTTTACAATAAAATAATAACGTCTCTAAGTGTAATTATAGAAATATTGTCTCCTGGTACTTTTACTACACTCTGGCATAATTTAGTTAGGTTTTCCCAGGATTACATTAAGTGAGATTGGTATTCAGTGTGTAAGAGAGAACTATGTGTCTTGAGTTTGTGTATTCTAATCCTCCAGAACTTTTATAGTACAATGAGGCAGTAATTTGCGTTGTTCCAATGTAGTTGTGGGTTTTTTTTTTTTTCCAGTACTTGGGATCAAACTCAAGACCCATCGCTTGTGAGGCAGGCACATTGCCCCTAAGGTAAATCCCCATCCTCCAAGAGTTTTGTGTGTGTACTGTATGTGTGTGTATGTATTCAGGAAAAATAACACTGCTTGTGATTAAATGAGTTAATAACCATAATTTTAAAGCACCATATCACTGGCATAATCACCACATACATCTTTGTCGGAAGAAATAGCTATAATGACAAAGGTTAGGAAAGACAATTTTGCTTGTAGAGTATTCATTTGCCTTTTCAAAGGGTGCCGGCTGGCACTAGGCTTATGATAACTATGGCCCAACAGAGACAACAGTATGAAATAAACTATGGTTGGAACACATCTAGCTGTTCTTCACCGCAGTATCTTGAACTTTAGATAGTGTATGTTCATGGCGAGTTATATTTCCATTGCCATAAAGTATATCCTATTACATTGTCCTGGCACAAAACCCTAACTTGTTGCTCTTTCCTAGTTGGATCATGGCCTTTTCTTCCGTCACCTGAAAAGTGATGCAATAATAAGCACTTTCTGTAACCAAATTAACAGAAGAAATTGCATACCATCTTGATGCTATCATTAGCCAAAACAGTGTGAAAAACACTCCAGCAGGTGCTTTGAAAGCCTCCATAATGTGACTCTTACTAATCTGAAAGACAAAAGCCATATACATGACATTATGTCATGTGAGGATATGGCTACATGACTACTGAATGATACCCTAAGAGTTACTGAGGTAAGATTACTGTGGGAGCCACCCCCGGTTGTGAATGAGTTTCTTGAATAAAGTGATTGTGATTTGGCACTAGGAAAAGGGGAGTCACGGTAATCATTACGTTTTTGATAAGCAAGGACTCAAATTTCTCATGTGAACTTCCTCAGAAACTTATTTCAGCAAAATGAGGGCGTTCTTAAAGCAGACAATATTTAAAACCTCGGGAAGCTACTGCAGAGTTTAACTCATAAACTCGCTCAAGAATTGCAATACTTGCTGGGGATTTAGTTCAGTGGTTCCGCCGCCTGCCTCATAAACGTAAAGACCCGAGTTTGATGCCCGGTACCCCCCCAAAAAACAGAGTTGCAAGAACTTAACCAGTTAAGGCAAGGCACCACCATCATATCCTAATGTTTTTAACTGCCATTTCCCCCAAAACTGCTCTATACTTTCCATTTATCTTGAAATTCTGAGGTGCTCTGGGATTTGGATTCCAGCTGTGCGTGTTAGCGGCGGAGAAAATCGGAAACCCCAGCGTCCCAGTTGTATAAAAATTATCCGGGAGTCGCGGCTTCACTCCCAAGCTCCACCAATCACCGAGGAGAGCTGGGGTCACCCGGACTGCTTCCGGGGTCACCAGGGGCGCGGGAGGCGGGCCACCCTGCGCACCGCTGGGGATGACACCTCTCCGCCTGCGCCCGGCGCTTGCGTCCGGGCTCCACTCCGCATTCCCAGACGCACGGAGGCCGAGAGGATTCTGGGGGCCACGCCCGTTGTGCAGTGTCAGCAGCCCGCATCCAGGCAGCGGCAGAGCCGGTAGAAGGGGTCGCGGGCCCGATGGGGGCGTGGAGGAGGGCGGGGGGGAGGGAACCGGATGTGGGAGGGCGGTGCGGGCCCTCAGGTGGGCGAGTCCATTTGGGCCTCTCACGAAGGGGAGCAGCTTTCTGTCGTCGTAGTCTATCCCGCCAGAGCTGGCGCCTTACTTTGGACCGAGGCTTTGAATTTGGAGTACACGTTCAAGAGGACTATATTCAGTAGTCTGGCTTTCCGAGAAGAGCTTCCAACCCCAAATTTG